TTAAACAAAATTAGGTGAATGTACCCTTAACTTTCCATTGTAATTAGCATAGGGTAATTGTTTTAAATTGTCGATTCATTAAGTGTTTGCTATTATACATTTGAGTTTGCAGGGAGGCAATGTTTTTAAATGAGGTCAATTCATAGGATTGTATTAGGGGTAGCTTTGTTTATTTGCTGTAGATAGCGCGTACGCGATCTTTAGTCATATGTAGATACTTACGTAGCAGATTATAGTTGATTACGTCTACAAAGCTACCAATTGTGGTGTTGGACTCGGTATTGGGGAATTTTCCTTTAGCTTACTTAATATTAATTCTTGTATTAATTACTCTGTTTTGACAGTATAGGGGATGATTTTGTATTTGTTAGCGGGAGGTTGAACATGACTCTAAAGAGTGATACAATTTAAGGTATCTTGAATATTTTCTGTACGGAGTGAGAGTGGAATTTTTCACATATTTTAACAAAGTGCAGAAAAGCGATTCCATTAGGATTTTTGTTATCGACTTGTGCGATGAGTCGGGGGTTTTGATTGTTTTATGTGGGGACGAATATATTTGCTGAATTACAATGGTATTTTGTCAGTATCTTATTTCTCATTCAATGCTTCCCACAAGAAGAGAGCCAACCAGAAAAATGTGAATGTCGTGCGAGATGTCGTGTTGAAAAATTGCCAAAGTTTCGCTGGCAAAAGGGTCACGCAGAATACCGTATCAGAAGATATGGTAATCAATGCTTTGACATTTTTTGAAAATCATCCAACGGCACCATTAATGATGCTTGAAAAACATTATTTTCGATCATAGTCGATCAATTTATATAGGATTTTGAAGAAGTGCCCAGAAAGCTTTTTGTACTTAACTTGCACGTAATTTAAAGCCTCAAGATTCTGCAAACCGGGTACAGTTCTGTGATCAAATGTAAAAAAGATGCAAACGTTTTGGCAAATACACACCGGTGCAAAAAGAGCGGCCAAGACTAGCGGCCAAAATTTCCGAACATACCCGAAGCGAAAATAGACCTTGCCACCCAATCTTTTGTGTTTTTATTCATTTTCCTTTAAATACTGAAACAATTCTATATCGGGCAACATTAATGAAAAATGGGATAAGCACGAGGATAAGCATAACCTCGGGCATAACAGTCATTATTGGGCAACGGAAAACCCTCGGGAAATCCCGTTTTTTGCTATGCGAAAATTTCGAGGAAAATTTCGATATCTCGAAATATTGAACACCGCTTGATGCTCTTGAAAATTGGCCTATTCAACAGCGAATGAAAGTATGGTACAAGATGGCGCTCCGGCCCACAATTATAACGTATTGGGAAGAAAGTTTGACATTTTGTTTGAGGATAGGTGGTTCGGCAATAATTATAGTCCACACTTTTTTTTGTAAGCACATTAAACAAGTACCTAGTCTACCAAGTTCCGATCACAATACACAGATACAAAACGTCAAAGTGCCATCTTAATTGTCAATTTTTGTTATAAAATGCAAATATCTCCAAAGCAATCACATATGGCCATATACAGGCTGATTCAAACTCGAGGGCCACCTTTGAGATCTCGTGAACTGTAAGAGATAGGTAGGTAGTTTAAATTTGGCAAATTTGTTGCGTATTTTGATGCTTAACAAAATGCAGTTTTGAAACTGAAAAAATTCAGACTACTTTCGGAGATATCCGGAAAAAACCGAAATTTTGCAAAATCGTCTTTATTTTTTACTGAAGTTATTTAAAAAGATAATTCGAAATAACTGCCACATTATTATGACTTTTGTCCCTCTACAAGATGCTACTTTTAAATTTTAATTTTGACGTTTCGTCTCCAGTCAACCATCATCAACTTTTTTTATGGAAGTAATTTTTATTTTTTGTGTCATTTGATAGAGAATTTTTTCTGATTTCAAAAATGTAAACATCACTATCTTTTAATATGAAATAACGCTATTCATTCGTAAGAAACTACGTATGTACACTACCCAAGACAAATTTTTCTAGGCAAAAAAACAACATATTTTAACAATATTAAAAAAACTATGATGTTTACATTTTTGATCTCGGAAAAAAATTCTCTATCAATTGACACAAAAAGTAAAAATTAGTTCCATAAAAAAAAACAAAGTTGATGATGGTCAACCGGAGACGAAACATCGGATTCAAAATTTAAAACTAGCACCTTGTAGGGGGAAAAAGTGGCCATATTAATGTGATATTTATTTCGAAATAACGTTTTAAATAACTTCAGTAAAAAATAGAAACTATTTTGCAAAATTTCGGTTTTTTCCGGATATCTCCGAAAGTAGTCGGAATTTTTTTAGTTTCAAAATTGCATTTTGTTAAGCAGCAAAATAAGCAACTTTGCCAAATTTGCACTACCTACCTATCTCTTACAGTTCCCGAGATCCCCATGGTGGCCCTCGAATTTGAATCAGCCTTGTAATTGGTTAATAAACTGACCTTCATTTTCGAAAAAGAATCTTAATGTGAAATAAAAAATGAGAGTTGCCATTTCATATAAGAAAATTGGTAAGTAGCTACATCCTGTACAACCGAAAGTGATAGACCACTGTCACTACTTTAAAAAAGTCGAGAAAAAAGTAGTTCTTCGTCGACAACTTTTCCACTTTCCCAGGCTAATTATCTCTTCAAAAGAAAGACCTTGCAATATACAGGGTGTCATATTTTAAAAAACGAACCTTTTTAACCTTGGCAATTGTGAAATTGTTCATTCAATTTTGGACACCGTGTGTGAAATAAGTAAATTGTCAATGTGGGTTTTTAAAGTATCCTTGTGCTTCTTCCTACTCTAGAGGCCCTTACCGCCATTAAAAGGTGCATTTTTGTCAATCAAAACATCTAAAAACAGTTGACGTTTTCCTCCAAAGATCACGATCGCGTGCATTTATTTCAAAACGCAGTGCAAACCGAAATATACAAGAAAAAGGATTAAATTTCCCCACAATAAACTCCGCAGAAACATAATATGTCTTAAACGAATTATAAGTAGGTATTATGGGCGTCAACACGGAAATGCTTATTGGCCATAAAGGGTTGTAGATACATATGCAGTCGCAGAGTTTTGTGTGAGCAAATTTGCATTTTTCCTATCTATTTCGGTTTTCACTGCGATTTAAAATCAACGCGCGAGATCGATATTTGCGTAAGAAAACAGCACAGAATTCCATTAGTGGAACTGTGACAGACAGAGTCAAAGGGTCCTGTATTTTTCAACCACGACATTGCTTCACAATTTAACCTCTGTGCTTCATTCTAAATAACCTGTATCCATTCGAGGTGCCATTATTGAAACTGGCAAGCAAAATGAAACTGTTCATTGAATGTTGTAAACATCAATATTCGTTTTTCGGAAAAGCATCGAAGAGCTAAGGGCCATAGTCGAGGGCACAGTGAATATGGAATTCTGTTTCTGTAATGAAATCAAAACTTGATACGCCATGGCTAACGCTAGGTATTCATACTTCATTTCTAACAGCGCGTCAGCAGTGGGCGTATAATTAAAAACACCGACATGGGAAGAATGAATGAATTTTAAAGAACAATAGATTAGTACAACACCTGAACCATGAAGAAGCTCATGGAGTCGCTCATGGATGTGTGAGAGCAATGAAATTTGGCGCGAAATAGTGCGATTTACTTAAATTACATCCAGAAGTATTTGAAATATCGCGACGAGAAGACGCTCCATTTCACTAGAAAATAGTTATCACTCGTAGAGATTGAATCTTCAATTTTAATTTACAACGCGCCCATTATTCTACAATTGACCGATTTATCTGTATTCCTGATAACGATTTTGAGCGTTCGCAATTGCCAAAATTGTTACCATGCCATTCTGGGAATCGGCACGATTTTAATCAATATCGAAATCTACAAGGGCAAACATTTTTGTTACCATTATTTATTATTATACTCATATACTGTATATAAGGCTTTCTATTTTCACAGAGCCTTGAACGTAGATCAGGGTCTGTTTTTCGAAAAAAAAAATTCGCGGTGAATTATTTCCGTGTTTCCCACCAAAAACAATCGGGAGCGTTTCTTTGTGCGGCGTTTTTCCCAAGAGTGTGTGGTTTGGGCAATCGGTGGATTTTCGAGGTAAACGTGGCGTTTTTGAAAAGTAGCTTACAATTACATAAGGAAAGAATCGGTCACGCTTGCGTTTAGGTACCTCTTTGTTGTTGTTCCTGTTTTTCGCCTCGCAGGATCGAGCCATCAGTAATGGGGATATACAGTATAAAAACACTTATGCACTAACGTTTCCGAAAAAGGCGAAACGTGCCGGATCTTACGCTACGAACTACGCGAGCTCAGCTTCCAAGAATGTAAATACAAACGCCACGAGCGACGTAGAGTAACTGAGTGAAACAAGTGTCGCGACGGACACAGCGCTCCTTACGGTTAACTTTGGCTCTACTACGAAACTACGATTCCGTCCATTTTCCCTCTCTATTTCACCACACGCGGTACCACAGCCCGTCCTTATCTGGTTAAAGGGAAAAGAAAGGAAACCTGTATGCGAGCACGTACGCAATTACGTAACGTACAATTTAAGAAAAATAAAAAGCGAAATCACCGCGATTTTTGCTAATTTCTCGACGGGGGCGATACGCGTTATCAAATCGCGACCTCCCCAAGCACCGGCAGAAAGTGCAGTAGCTCAGTGCAACGAGTACGCAACTGATAACAGAAGAGGAGGGCATTTCGAACCACTTCCACATTTTCGGGCGAAATTCCGATGCATGTAAATTTGACCTCGAAAACTGGCGACAAAGTTTCTACTACATTTAGCTGACAAAACAATTCTCGCAAGGTCATTTCATTTCAGTTGTACATCACAATTATCAACTCTGCCCTTGCAGCGCGGCAGTTTCATTTTATCGTCTCGAATTTGATTATTAACTTTCATTGTTTGCCAAAGGAATTTATTATGTGTGTGTGTTCCGGGAACGAGGAGGGCCGGAGGGGAAAACTCACCGAGTCGTAATCGCGCTCGGAGCTGATTTACCTGGGAAGGTTCGTGAGACGGTCGAGTAGTCCACGGCGACCGCGAGGTGAAGGTCGCGTGCACGTCAATGGGGTCCCGCTGTTGTTGCCCGGACAACCGCTAGGAGGTGCTAGGCTATTTTTGGCACAGGCAACAGCTCTACGCTCCCACTAATAAAATAAAAAGCAATTACTAGTAATTACGCTATCCTCTTTCGGATACATTCTTTTAGGTTATTCAACCTTTTAAATCGCGAAAAAATATCTAATTATAACGCTTACAATACGATAGCGGGGGGAAATTGTAATAAGCGTAACCATGGCATTGTTCCGAGATTTAATACGATGGCAAACATCGAGTGCCACTCAACTTGTTACAAAATCATCCTTTAAATAGCAGTTTTACGTTTTTACGACACGGGCAATGATAAAACGCAAATACAAATATTTTTCCTAAAAAAATACTGGCACTTGAGTGTTAAATTTGCGCGACCGAATTTTGCAGCCACCTTCATCCGTCTGTCCGAGGCCTTAACTACTCCTACAGTTTTCAAGATATTTAGGTAGTTTGTTCTTTTTGCATTCGGTAGCGTACCTATAGCTCTGGAACTTGCGCCAAGGAAAATCTTAGACGATTAAACTGCGCATGCGCAGACTGCGAAATGTCCACTTCGAGTTTATAATTTTGCGGTGTCTATCCGTCTGTCCGTCCGTCCGTTAGCACGATTTGGCGATAACGAATGTACCCACCGATTGCGATGAAATTTTGTAGGTGGATTCTTTATCAAATTTGTAAATCGGAGTTCGTGAATTGGCAATATAGCTATGGTGACCATATGTACTTTTTTTAGTAGGACAGTACTTTCTTTTGAAACGCTGTCCTATTGTCCTTTACGATTTATCAAGTACACATAAATGTACTCTTTTTCTTAATTACACAAAATTAAGTCATAGTTTTTGTCCAAACGAAATATAATTATGACTTCTTGCATGTCTTTGATGCTTTGGCGTATTGCTTAGTTGTAGGTATTTTGATCCATTGTTCAGCAACCTATCGATGAAATGGCAACTTCTGAAGTAAATTCATGGTTCCAAAAAGTACGACTGGTACCAAAATGATGATTAAAATGTTCAGGCAGGATCGTCGGAAGAAAATTAACTTTTAAAATTTATATATACATATAAAGACACATAATTTATGTACCTATGTTTGATAAAAAAAAACTTTGTTTTCTTACTGTTTGATTAGATTCGTAAAATTGTGACCAGAAAAATTTCCTAGAGTATTAGCTTTAGCAGTGCATTCCCTTATAAATTATAAATGTACTTTTTTCTTGTTGAAAAATTATGGTCACCCTAAATATAGCCCAAAAAATAAGGAAGGCCCTTTTGACATCTCTGTGAATTATGAGCCGAATTTCATGAAATTCAATATATGCATATAGCTTCAGCCTAACCAATCAACATTCACAGTGCCCTTTTCGCATCTCGACCATTTACAAGCCGGATTGCAAACTTTCTTATTTATGGAAGCATTTAAATGAAATTTGATACATACATAGGTTCTTGGAATAAAGGAAAATCTAACGCCAGTTTCAAAAATTTATTTTACGCATGCGCAGTGCCAACTTTTTTAATTAAAGAAGCATTTAAGTGAAATTTGATACATAGGCACTTGGAATAAAGGAAAATCAATCGCCAGTTTCAAAATTTGGTTTTGCGCATGCCCAGTGCCAACTTTTTTTATTTATGGAAGCATTTAAACGAAATCTGATACATAGGTGCTTGGAACAAAGGAAAATCTAACGCCCAGTTTCAAAATTTAGGTCTGCGCATGCGCAGTTCCAACTTTCTTATTTAGAAAAGCATTGAAATGAAATTCTTCTTATAAACTGAAATTGAAGTAGCACCGTTGAGTGAAGGATTAGAATTACTCAATGGTAGCACGTCAAAAATGCATTGCACATGTGCAACGCTATCTTTCATATTTGTAGCCGGATTTTTACGATTTTAACAGAAGTTGGGAAATGAATGCAAGTGGAAATGATGTAAATCGTTTACGATTACTTTTTAACAACCGTTGAGAGATTTTCAATTCAACATTTCGATTCGGAGATATTTTTATTAGGAATCCAACAATGTACGGCACACAAAAAAACAAAAGTTGTAATCTCTGGTGGTTTCAACAGGATGGTGCGCCCGCGCACAACTCCCTGATGGTGCAAGGATACATATCAAACAAACTCCCTGGAAAATGAAAAATTCCTCCGATAGGTATGTATTCTTGCGCGGATAGGGCCTTGTGTGTGGGTGCACCATCTTGTTGAAAACAACAGTCTTCAACTTTTGTTTTTTTTGTGTGCCATATATCTTTGTATCGGTAATCAAAATTGCTACTCAATACAGTGTGTATTTTTACGGGCCATATAAGAAAATAAAGTTGATGATGATTTCTTCGAAATGGAACGTTGTATTGAAAATCTCTCAACGGTATCTTGTAAAACTGGCAATGAAAAAGTGTTCTCCACTCTGTAAGAGTATTTATGGAGATATTTCTAGGACATTTTAAACAAAGATGCATTTAGTAAATGCAAACGTATCGCATATTGTAAACATCATATTAATGTGCGCATGCGCAGGATGCACAATATCAACTGTCTTAATTTATAGAAATATCTTTTTGAAATTTTAATCACAGATGCTTCTGTTAAAAGCAAGCATATCTGATATTGCATTAGATGTGCGCATGCGCAGTCAGTACATTTTAACCATAGATGCTTCTTTTATCTGTTCATCGAACAGATGCAGTTAAGCTCCTCCCAAAAAATTCCCGGCAAATTTAAATGAACATTTTTAATTGACCGAATTTTCAAAACCTGTAACACACGCAACTATTTGTTTCCAATTATTATTGCCGTATCTCAATTGACATCCTTAACGTCAAACCTGTCATTGCGTTTTGTATTTGTCTTACCTCAATTTGCCGTTAATTTCAACAAGACAACCAATTTGAAACTATGCCCTGCTGTGTGTTGAAAGGTCAATATTCAAAACATAACACTTTATAACTTAGTCATGCAATGTACAATGTGACATTGCGGTTTTTATAATTTTTGTGACTGTGAAACAGGTCTGCTATTACATGGACCAAAACTTATTGGGAGTGGCTTAACTGCATCTGTTGGGTGAACAGATTATAGTAAAGAAAGTTGAATAAATGGCTCCATCTATATTGTTGGAATTTGAACCACGCAATTTTAGCCATGCTTTTGGGTTATCGTCGTCCTCATTCGTTGGTGAGCTGTAACAGTAACAACTGAGTTACTGAGGCGATAGTGAAAACGCATGGAATTTTAATTGCCACCATCCATATTTTATTAATCTTTCGCAAGTGAATTCATTTAATTGGAGGATTCCGCTGTATTGGACGGGTTCTCCTTTAACTCCGATATTGAGAGGATATAATTGTGTTTTGCTTCTTCTTCTTAAGTACGCCATTTGAATTGTATGTATTTGAAGTGTATATTTCTTTAGGATCATCAAGGATCAGTTCAAGATTTAAGTGTTCGCTCAAAATCTAGTTTTAATTGACCAGCTTAAGTGCGGAGACATTTTTCGTCGACGTACGAGTTTGGAGTTGATAAACTAGGATTAAGCTCGCCATTTATCAAATATTTTAAATCAATTTTAAGAAGTGAATGAGCTAAAATAGGGTTTCCATGTAAAAAATTATCGCTCGCGTCATATATAACAAACAAAAGACGATCCTTAAGTGACAATTACAGTAAAATACGTCTTATTTAAGATAAAAATTCACGTGATCGAGGATTGTTTTCAAAACCGTTTACTCAAATATTTATTGTGATAATTCGAGACTTCACACTCGCAATGTATAAAATCACTCTGCGATAAATTACAGGTGGCCGACCTGACTGCGACTTTTTTTCTGTGGTATTTGAGCAGATAAGGAAAAAACACTTTCGAACTGAATTTTTGAGCTTTATAAGACATCCTTGAGAGATTTTTTATGTTTTTATATAACCCGTAAAAAAAGTAAACCTGTATTGAGTAGCATTTTTATATACAGTTGGAAACTATTCGTTTCAGCAGGATGGTGCACCCGTACACAACGTCCGAATCGTGCCAGAATACCGATCGGACATATTTTTCATTTTCCAGGAAATTTGCCCGATAGGTGTTCTTGCAAGATTAGGGCGTTGTGCGCCGGTGCACCATCCTGCTGAAACCAATGAAAATACAATACAGCATGCGTAAAGAAAAATGTGAGAGGAATTTAAAAAATCTTAAAAAGTCGAAACATTAAACAAAACATTTTCAATTGTTAACTCAGTTTTAAAGGTTTTTTTACCTTACGTGCATAATTTTGACTAATTAGTTGGCCAAAAAAAGTTTTTCGATCTTGTTATAAAAATACTTAGTGGCAACGTCCAATACCATTTTTGAAAATCGTGTAGTTCAGTGGTTATAAAAAATTAAAATAACTAATTTTATAGCATAGGTACAACGTCAAGAGTAGGTTTATAACATTCGTGGCAGGCGTAATATATTACGCAAGATACGAGCGAAAAAGGAAATTATGGATAAACCGGGACGCCTGCTTTCAACAATACCGCCGAGATAAGGCCAACGTACAACTTCGATAACACTTTATAGTTACAAAGATTCGTTTGACCCGAATGAATCATCGCCTGGTTGTCGTCACAATGTGGAAAGATTAAGTCGCCGTTTCTAGCGTATTTTACAAAAATTGTACTATTTTTTGAACTCATCCACCCATAGGGACATTGGGTACTTTCAATTGTCTCAGAAGAACAATAAAAAGGTGTGAGTGATGACACCCCTCCCCCCAAAATTTGAATGCCTCTAGATTTTCCAAAGACAAAATGTTATTCTACCCCCATCAAACCTCTAAGCCCCACCTACTCCAACTAAGAGAATTTAAATACCAAACCTCTACTTGAATATTTGATTTGGTAATTATTGATACACTCTGTACAGTAATTATTATATTTTGTATCATTGGATATTTTTATAAACTTTTTCATGATAAGGGTTAAGTATTTATTTTTATTTGGCGTAGATGGGACCTAGGGGGGTTGATGAGCGTAAGTTCTTTCATGGCATTTTAATTCCCCCTTTCTAGCCTAGAAACGGTTTTAAAAATTTTTCTGGAATCATCTTTGTTTCTTAGATATAGCTTATTGTATTTACTCCGTTAGAAATTTTATTTACATCTGTGATTCTCAACTACCTACTTCTGCAACAGGTTCAATGACGTATTGTAGCGAATTTTCGAGAACGTTATCCAGGTCTATAAAGTCATCGACAATAACGAATACAAGCGGATGTGACTCATATGATATTCCGACGTGATAGGTTTTTTTTAAACGCTTTGTTTTTGGTATATAAACAAATTAAATTGTGTTTAGTCTCAGTCTTCACATCGATGTCGAAGTGATAAATAGTAAAATCCGCCCTAGTAGATAAGTGATAAATCATAATTATCAGTCTTTAAGGAACGTTTTATTTAGTTCATCGTTAATAGTGTAAGTACCTGTGAACATTAATTCGGTAATGTGTTTTACCACACAAACTAGAATCTGAAACAATTATCTTTACGTTTCTCACGCAAAAGTCTGAAAAAATTGAAGATAACGCGCATCGTCGAACGATCGTTAATTAATATTCGTTGAACCATTTGTCATCATACCAGAACTAGATTAAACAAATTTGTTGTTAGTATACCGTTTAGCAAGATGATTTGCCATAATTGACAATAAAAATTAATAAACAATGCACACCGAAGCAATTTATTTATAAAGGGTCTAGTTTATGAAAGAAATAATCTAATTAACATAGCGTTGCGATAGTAATAAATCATTTGTAAAAAATAATTACCTTCACGGTAGCTCTCTTACGACCGGTGCGGTGCCCGGAACGTACCTGAAACTAAAACGAAAGATTTACTGCATCAGATTTGCAACAGATTTAATACGATTTAATAAAAATTCTGTGCATTCTTCCATTCTATTATTTTGTCCAGCAACAAGTTTTTCAATTTTTGTAAAATGGTACTGAATACATTCAGTTCTACAGCCTGTAACTATGGGTGCAGGCAACGTGATCTCTGTTTAGTATTCTAGATTCCAAATTTTGTAGAAAGTGTTCGTTGAGAGCTAAGTTTTTGTTTTCAAAACTCAAAAAATTCCTGTTTCCTGTTTACCGTTTTTCGTATCTCTACACGTACCTACACTAATTTCGTTAGAATGAAGGTCAAACAGTAAACAACTGACAATTAATGTTACACTGTATCAGGAATCTCGTCGGATAATTCGTGACAAAATGGTTCCCATCAACAGGCAGGAAGCGCATTAGAAAAAAAATGCTAAATGCTTACTGCAGATTTGCGATGTGTCTCAGAAATATGAAATACATGATATAGGTAATTCTATATATTTTTATAAAATATGGCAAATCTTTCACCTATAACTTTTTGATATTTCATTTTTCATCACATAGCAGTTCTTGATTATTTTCATTACAGGTAGATACATTATCTTTTTTGTGAGATATTTTGAAAAAGTCATAAATGCGTTATTCTGGTAAGACGGCAGTGGCACTAAGGTTCAAGATTTGTTTTTAAAATTTTCTTTCAGACTGTGTAGAGGATGTCCCTCGGAACTCCTTTACCATAAAAGATGCCGAAAAAAGTCTTAGAGCAAAATTGTACACAATTTCCGCCGGCATGTTTCTAAAATCTCCAGTGGCGTATCAAACTTGCATTTTTTAAATGGAACACCCCATATTTTATTACTGATTGGAGAATACTTGAAAAGTACATATTTTTTTATGTAACATGTTATACCCCTAACTTTAACGATTTCTCTGTTATAACCTTTTTTCGTCAAAATTTGACAGTTTTTCGAAATTTTTTTTGAGAGAAACTAAATCGCGCAGGCGGCTAATTTTTGGATTGAAACACAGGTACAGCCCTCTTCCAAAATTACATATTTTTTTAGGTACTTTATCGGGAATGTAAAATTTTTGAATGACCTTCGCTAAATGTCATATTTTTTAAAAATTTCAAATGGCACCCCCCCTAAACAAATTATACCTCTGGGTATCCAAAACTACAAATTGTCCACCGATATAAACAAAACGCCAATTTGTAAAAAAAGGTTCTTTTCCGAACCCAAGTGTGCCATGATAAAACAAAAGATGTTCAATTCTCACAAATAACTGTAAAATATCGGCAGTTTGTTTTTTAATCAACGTTGCAAACTCAAGTAGGAATGGTTGATATAGTGTTTATTCTTGGAGACTGTTACCGGAATTGTTTGTTGACGTCACAAGAGTACGCTGGGAGATATCCTGGTAAAACACAGCGTTGGGGCTATATCAAATTTTCTAATCCGCCACATAAAAGGCGAAGTTAAAGTAAAAAGGAGAGAGACGAGTAGCAATCGTTTGAGAGTGCACGGCGTCCACGCAAAAAAATGCGATCTTGAAAGCTAGTTTAGCGTAAAGAAGTATAAGTGAAAGGGGAGGGAGTAGCGATCACGTTAGGGTACAGATGGTTCGCTAGAAATTTTTACCTAAGTGATTGCTTCTTGCTGCGAATTAAGTGTAAGAGCGTTCTAAAAAAAGTTAATCGCGACCGCCCAGTTCCAAGTAGGTACCAGGAATCTTATTTATTGCACTAATAAAAGACTACAATTTTCAAGCGCGCTGATACATACTAGAACAATGAAGAACGAGGTCTCTAAATAAAATTCGGCCACCGACGAAGAAACAAAATAAATCAAGTTCACTGCAATAAGTGCATTGTTTAATTCGCATTTGAAATACGTAACACCCTACTCGAGTCATTGCAATTGTTTCGTGCTAGCGGCATATGAGTGCTTTTCTATCGTAAACCTGAGCGACGACAAATTAATTTCGTTTTACAATTTACTTTTACATGTACAGTACGTGATGCAAGTTGCATCGTAGCTGATGAACTTTTATTTCGGAAATAATTTACCCGTTATCAACAAGGGCGCACCTGAGAAAGCTGAGGCCAGATCTTTTTAACCTGGGCGCAGCGTGTTTACAATATTTCGGTTCGGACGATTGTTAATTCCTCTAACTTCATATACCACAAAATGTGAACTTCCACCTTGGGTAATCTTGAGTCAAGCCTACCAGAAGCTCGCGGAAGATTAGCTTCAAGATGACGACCTCAAACAATTGTTTAAAGACGTTGTCAAGTTACCTACCCCTGTTTTTCGGAATCATGGAATTATGTGCGACAAGCAGATGAAACCCTACGTTCCCCAACAGTTTCCGGTTGTTGATATTCAATAAATTCCTCAACATGTCCCACCCGAGCAGAAGGAAAGAGTCCAAGTTCTGCCAACGTTTCGTGTGGCCTACAGGCCAGCGATCCAAGGTGCATTGCCAAATTGTGTCACCTCCAAGACAGTTTCAGCTAGAATCGAGACGTTCAACCACATCCAATTTGCCCCTTGTCATCACCAAGTTCGGGATTTACGTATGCGGTCACGCTACTCGATCCGAGGTTTTTCCTAGAGGACATCTATTAGTGTGTAAAGTGTAAAGTGGAACGTCGTCATCGGACGCTAAAAGCAGGCAATAAAATGCCATCGCACGGAACGCTACCTACTACGTACAACTCGAGCAGATGATTCTGATTACTCTCCTGATGCACTCGTTTATGCAACTGCATTATGCTTTCCTTCTGAATTTTTCTCCCATATGCCCTTTGCGGATTTCGAATCGCCCCATTCAAGACTGCACGGACATTTGAAAGTGTTTGTCCACCCCTAGCTCGGCATATGCTCTCATGTTTTTGAGCGCAAGGAAGGTATGAAGAGGTCGCTGCAACATTCGTAGGAAGGTCCCTTCCAAATAGTCGAATTAAATGGAAGCACGGACATAATATCCATCGACCGCCTCATACCAGCGTTTATGACAAACGGCACCATAAACGTACCTGCGCTGCGATACCATGACCGTAGCATCATTCAAATCCGGCATCATCCAGAACAGCTCAGCTAGAAACGAGATCAGAGAAAGAGAAGTTCCTGACAAAGTTCAACGAGTTTACTACCACGACGCTGGAGGGAGAGTTGTGAAACCTTTTTTGTGAAAGGTGGCGGAAATTGTTTATTGTTGTCTTAAGGGAGCGATCTAAAAGGATTTTTAGTTTAGCTGCAGGGGGCTGCTAGTCAAGAGTGCAAGCGCAAATTTGTTTTTTAACGAGCACTTACGTCTTTTAGGTGGCCCTTCTCAAAATAATGAATTAAATTCAGCCACATTGGTCTAGTGACTAGGGTATCCGGTTTGCAACCCGGGCGGCTCGGGTTCGATTCTTTGGTAGGAAAATCTTTTTTTTTTCACAAAAATGCGTACCCAATTCAGGGAAGTTGGACATTAGATTATTTGTAGGTTTAAAATTGTGTTCTAAATTTTTTTTTAAAGCAAACTTACACAAAATGCGCATGCTCACCAGGAAGCTGTGTTTTTTTATGCCGTTACTAGTCGTTCGACAGTTTTCGGCATTTTGGCTGCTAACTTGGTACGTTTGTGAATACCCCATTTCCACACTCCCGTTCTCTAATTCTAATATAACATACTCATGCTGGGATCTCAAACCTTCAGACGGACGGACTAAATTCCCACAAGTATAAGCTGCATTTTTCATGAAAAATACGCATAAAATTGAAAACTGAAAGTCAAATGTCCCGTAACCATTGCGTATTAATACAACACGAATGCCGCCAAAGACTATTTTCTCTAAACGATCACATTTGCCATAAAGCCTCGTGAATAATAATTAGCAGCATAATGTAACGTAATTATTTACGATCGTAACAATAATTACTGTTGTAGGTACCTGGTTCGCATTATTACATTGTTTACATTCTGTTTCACGGTATGATTACCCGGTGAGTAATCACGAATTTGCATTGTACAACTACGGCCGGTTTAGGCTAATAAATAACGAAAATGAGGGAGAGTAATTAGGGTTATTGTAATTTCGGAGTGACGTACAAAAGCAGACAATTATACTTGCGGTCGGACAGTGGACCATTTTCCAGCCATCAGAACAGTGCGTCATCACTTTAAATGTGTACATAATAACACGCCTACAAGCTCTAATTAATTTCGAGCTAATCACTTTTCACTTATTCAGTTTTCCGGGTAAAATGCGTGGACGATTACGCCATTTACATTCTGCTCCAATTGCATTGATTTTGTAATGTGTGTACACATTTTTTTCTAGATTCTATTAACAAACTGCCAACGCGTTGCACGCGTATCAGATTTATCATGTCATCCGTATAAATATTTTCACTGTTGCATAAGAAAATTTCGCGGTAAGATCTGAAGGATTTCGATTATAGTTAATTCGTTGTTATTAATAGTAAACACGTTTCCAATGTTCTAATTTTCTGTAGTCAAAACAGAGAGAGATACTGAAATAGATTTGAATACCACTGCATCGCAAAGTAGCGTCAATTCTAGCTAGACGGTGCTTTCGCGAGGTGAACTTGCATATTTCGTCTATGGCACTTTCCAAATCATTCAAATTTTTGGCTAACACTTTCGGGCAACAGGCGGTGTATTAGCAACAAAAATTACGAAATAATTTCAATAGTTCAAAAAATAAATCTACGAGATGTGGGTAGATCGGTTGAAGCGAAAATAGTCACCCCAGTTAGTGAAAAATCGCTATTGGCTGCACTTTGACGTCTGTCCGTCCGTCCTTCTGTCCGTCACACGTACTCCTTCTAAACCACTGAACCGATTTGAAAGAACTTGGTCCAAGCATTCCGTGCATACCCATATTTTTTGGTTTTGCGCATGCGCAGTGTCTAAAATTTGGTGTAACGCATGTGCGATGCTAACTTTTTTATTTATGAAGATATTTAAATGAAACTTTATATGTAACTAAGTAAAATTAACGACGTTTCCAAAATGTGGTTCTGCGCGTGCGCAATGCCAACTTTGTTATTTATGAAGGCATTTAAATGAAATTTTTACATAATGATGAAATTATCGGACTTTTTCTAACGAAAAATCGTATGGAAAGTGGTACTATTTTTCACGATTTTTACTATGCGTTTCCATGGAGTTTAGTCCTGTCTATGAACAATAGCATCCAGAAGTTTTGAGTGACAGTAAATCGCAAATGTCAATCAAATTATTCAATTGTGCGGTTATTATGGATCACTATGCAAAAAAATTTCGTGTACAACACGTGTTGAAAGTGTTTTTTTTCCATGGATTTGCTTGATTAACTCGGGCTTCGCCCTCATTAATCAAACTGCAAATTCGTGAAAAAAAAGTATCACTTTCGAAACTAGTTGTACAAATAACTATTTATACATAGGCATTTGGCATAAATACAAATCTAAACACCAGTTGCAAAATTTGGTTTTGCGCATGCGCAATGCCAACTTCTTTATTTACTGAAGCATTTAAATGAAATTTTATACATTCGCACTTAATCTAACACCAGTTTTAAAATTTGGTTTTGCGCATGCGTAAAGGCAACTTTCTTATTTATGAAAGCAGTTAAACGAAATATCATATGTAGGCACCTTGAATGAAACTAAAACTAATACCGGTTTCAAAATTATTGTTAACGCATGCTGTATGTTTTATTTATGAAGGTATTCAACGAAATTTGTAGACAATGCGCAATGCTATTTACGAAAGCATTTATAAAAAGTTCCATGTGTAGACACTTCAATAAAAGTAAAACTAATGCCCATTTCAAAATTTTTATGCATTTGTATACGCTCCACTGTTTTTCAATAAACTGTATAGACTTCGACCGATAGGCGGCTCATTTGAAAGAGAATGGGGTAAGGATCTCGTGCCTACGTATTTTTTCCTGGTCCTAGCATTAATATCATTAGGAGGAAAATACGCTCTCGTCATTTATGTTTGCATAATGACTTTTTAAACTTGTACTTTCTTTCAGAGAGAGGCTCTACGTTCTTGTTAGCACAGGGACCATACAGGATGACATTCAACAAATTATTTTGTCAAGTTGTAGTGGCTATAGTAAACTGGCCTTAATTATACTACTGAAACACATCGATGTATATTTAGATTTGTAATCAATAATTATATTAAATCTGCATACTTTACTATCCTTGTCTATTTTGTTTACTTTACCACGAGCATGTATTTTACTCCTATACGTTTTTTTTGTTATTATTCCTATTAGTGGAAAGAAAATTATATCTCTACGCCACTGAAGTGAGACGCTAATGATAACGGAAGTGGTGTGGTACTTTAATCACAGCCAGAGGCCACTACGACCAATTAAAGCCTACATCTGTTTATTTGTCTGTATGGCAACGAATGCAGTCCACTTGGAATTAGTCACTAGCTTATCTACAGATCATTTTCTTCAAGCATTTAAGCGGTTTCTTAGTAGAAGAGGAGTTGTTATTGAAATTCACTCCGACAATGGGACCAATTTTATAGGCGCTAGGGCTTGTTTAAATGAACTATACAAATTCATCTTATCTCCAGAATATAATAATGCTGTCCGAAATGAATTAGCTAAACGGGAAATTCAATGGAAATTGATACCGCCCTCAGCACCACATATGGGTGGACTGTGGGAAGCAAACGTGAGATCCGTAAAAACCCATTTAAATAAAATCGTACACAATCAGCTACTAACGTATGAGGAATTCAATACTCTATTAGTCCAAATTGAATGTGTACTGAACTCTCGGCCTCTTTGCGTTCTTAGTTCTGATCCGTCTGAACCCACCATTTTGACTCCAGCGCATTTTTTAACCTTAGGCCCTTTGACGCATTTTCCGGCCTACGACTATAGTGCTATTAATATTAGCAGATTAGATCGGTTTCAACTCATCGATCGGATGATACACGATTTTTGGAAAAGGTGGAAATTAGAATACCTCACAACTCTACAAGTACGATCGCAATGGAACACAGAACATAACCCCGTGCAAATTGGCACCATTGTTGTAGTAGAACAGCCAAATACTCCACCATTGCAATGGCCCTTTACTTAGGGATTATACAAAAGGTGTATCCTGGAAAAGATCAAGTCGTACGAGTTGTAGACGTCCGTACCAAATATGGTACTTATCGCAGACCAGTTATTAAGGTTTGTCCCTTGCCTTCACAATAGTTTTTTTTTATTAGTTAACGTTAAATTTAATTGGATATTAATTTTGGATATTTGATTAATTTGTCTCATGAACTTTAGGGTTATTTTTGTGTAGCTTTCTGAAGCCTGAATGCATCCTTCATCCCGGGGGGAATGTTGAAGCCGTTGAATAAATTTCAGTTAAAATAGTTTTATTTCATTTTTGTATAGATGGAGTATGCATCCATTGATTTTAATTTTAGTTTGGGAAATTTTGGGTGATAACATTTTCAATTCAATAGTTTTTTTGTGGTAAAGTTCTGTTGCGTGTGAGGTGTATCTATCTACAGCGTCGTCATTAATTAATCGTTCACCTATCTGTCAATCAATTAAATACTAGCCATCCCGTTCTTTCATTTACCTCGCCATATTCTCCTTCCTTGTAACAGAAGAAAAAAGAAAAATATCGATTGAACGACGACAGGTGAGTGCGATTTTTTTTCCTATTTCAATTAACTAAAACAGGGTTTGAAGGGCTCATTCTACTCTCTCCTGTGAGAAGATTTTTGAGGCTTCGCTCTGGAGTGAGGCCTTACCTGGCCTTCCACCTCTGTCTGTTGAAGAGCAACCTTTACTTCTTGTGAGTCTCCAAAGTGAGTGCTCATGAGGAGCTCTAATGGACCTTCTTATCGCGGAATTGTGCGCCGCTAGGGCGGTTCTGTACTCTTCCCATGTTTCTTCGCGCCTCTGTCTTCTTGGAAAGTTGCGGAAGTGATCATGCTGCCAGAGCCAGGAAAACAAGCCAATGATATTAAATTCTATCGATAGGCCGATATCACTACTGCCGATGGTCTCAAAACTCTTTGAGAAACTACTGCTCAAGAGAAGAGGCTAAGGACAATAATAGAAAATGCAGACAAAAGCACTCAACAATAGATCAGGTGCATAACTGACAACATCTAACGTGCTTTGGAATACCTACGTACGGCGTCCTAGACGTCGCTCAAGCCTTCGACAAAGTTTGGCATAAGGGCTTGGTACATAAGCAAAACAAAATTCTCCCAAAGCAATTCGTAGGTACTAACGCCATATATCTCAGATAGACTCTTTAGAAGTAAACAAGAGGACGAATATTCCGATTTGAAAGACATAAGAGCGGGAGTACCTCAGGGTAGTGTACTGGGTCCTATCCTCTTAACTGTTAGATAGCAGCGATATATAAGACCTAGAGGGAACATTTGCAGACGACACCGGAATAGTAGCGGTGGAGAAAGACCAAGATCTATCCACAATACTTGACTTGACCAAGCAATGGAGGATAAAGATCAACAGTCCAGGAAAACCTAGAAGACATCAATGGATACACTCTAGTAAATAAGTACATAGTTTAAAGAATTGAGATGAAAAGGCATGGTTAGTCCTAAGACTAGTTTTAACAAATTTTATGACACTATAAATTACATGTACAGGGTGGCCATAAATTATTAAGCGCAATCCATAGGTGTATAGAAGATGTACTTACATGAATGATGATTTCAATTTCAAATAGTTTTACAACATGACAACAGACAACTTCAATAGATTTGCACATGAGCACCTCTTGTTTCATGTAAAAT